CATATGGCAGCCTCAGGTGTTTCTTGGCTTCTAAGTGGCGTTCTCTCTGTGTCTTCACACTGTCTCCCCTTTGTACCTGTATAACTATTATCCAAATTTCCTCTTTTTATGAAGACACCAATAATATGAATGATGGCTGACCCTAAAGACCTCATTTTAACTTGATCATCTGCAAAGGCTATTTTCAAATAAGATCACATTCACAGGTACCGGGGGTTAGAAATTTGGCATTTTTTGTGGGGACACCATCAACTCGTAATAGCCCTTGGAGTATGCAAATGTCTGGGGGAATATACAGAAACAGAATTCATCTCAACCCTACTAAAGTCCTGCTTTGTAATGCCCAGAAGTCTTGTGTTTTCACAAATTCTCCAGGTGATTCTGAAGCAATGATCTAGCATTTCAGGGTTAACATAAGATCAAAAATTTAAAATCTTGATATTAACTACTGATTCACTTTGCTTTTGAATTTGTTAATTCATTTTCTTTGATGGGAAGAATGTTAAACCACCTTTATGTTTTGAAGCTTATAACTTGAAAAATGTGAATTTGGAGATATATTATCTTTGTACTTTATAAGTGGTAAATTGATGTCCAGATTTTTCATTGATTATTCTACAAAACATCTCCATATCACATATGGATTTCTAATTTGTTTTGTTTTATATTTCTCTTTACTAGAATGAAAAGTTAATTCTAGAGAATCAAGAAAAAGCCAACAGACTTCAAAGGCGTCTAAATCAGGCTGAAGAGAGAGCTGCTTCAGCTTCCCAGCAGGTAGGGAACAGCCTCATTATCCCAAATAATAAATAGTCTAAGCAGTTTAAAGATAAAAAAAGGTTTCTTAGAAGTTCTCAGAGAACTAGTAGTTTTGTTTGTACTTGGTTAACCTATTTAAAATTAGTCCCTTTAATATTTTAATTTGAAAAAGTAAACTTTAGGGGGGCAGCACCTGTGACTCAAGGACTAGGGCACCAGTCCCATATACTGGAGATGGCGGGTTCAAACCTGGCCCCAGCCAATAACTGGGGAAAAAAAAAAAAAAAAAAGTAAACTTTAGGAACAAAAACAAACATTAGTATCTTTCACTTGACACCTCTAGAACTACACTGTCTACTCTGGCAACCTCTAGCCACAGCCACAGTTATTTAAATTGAAACTACTGAAATGAAATTTAAAATTGAGATCCCTACTCACACTAGCCAGATTTCAAATGCTCAGTAGCTACATGTAGCTATGGCCGTTATATTGGACAGTGTAGATATGGAGCATTTCTGTCATCACAAAAAGGTAGTATTAGACAACACTGCTCCAGAATTATGTTCCGTCTGAAACTCGGCAGAAGGCCAGGTGCAGTGGCTCACACCTGCAACCCCAGGTACTCGAGACGCTGAGATGGGAGGATCACTTCAAGAGTTCAAGGCTCTATGAGCTCTGATTGAGCCATTGCAGTCCAGCCTGGTAACAGAGCAAAACTCCGTCTCTTTAAATAAATGAATTAATGAAGACAGAAAAAGAAAAGAAAGGAAGAAGAAAAAGAAAATTTCCCCAAGTTTGAAAGTAGGTAACATTGTTCTATAACATTTCAAATTGTACTGCCCTTGTTTTTGTTTTAGTTTTAAGTAGAAAAAGAAAATAGAATAGAACATACAGAACATCAATGAAATACAAAGAGGTGATTTATCATAATATGTATGCAACATATAAATGAAATGGGCTATTTTTTCCAAAGTAGGAGCAGTAGTCCCTCCTATTAGGAACAAAATGAGACCAGTTTGGTGATTATAAAGATAGGCTAGAAACAAATGGATAGGTAGCTATAATAGGTAAATAGGGCCGGCAGAGAACAAAAACAAATCAAGTGACTGTATTATTAACTACATTTGCTACAAATGTAGTATTGAGATCAAAGTTAATATTTTCTTAGCTGCAATAACATTTTATACAAAGTAAAGCACCTGAATTCAGTTTATGTTCATGATGCTTATAGATTTTTAAAATTTATTTCTGGTATGAACACTGCATGGCACAGGAAAACTCAATAATAATTTGTCTTTTTTTTCTCTCCTTGAAAGTAATCATAACATTGTCAAATAATTTTAATTAATGGATTCAGTAATCATTCAAGAATTCATTCACTCAGATTATAAGGTAACAGGAATCAAGAAGTGCTGGGCAGTATCAGCAATTTACAATCAGTCAAATCACCAGCTGCCATTAAGTGGTCCTGTGACCATGGGCAAGTTTAACTTCTCTAAGTTTCAGTTTGCTCATGTTTAGTGTAGGATAATAATACCTCCCTCGTGCAATTACTGAAAGATAGAAAAAGTTAACACATGTAAAGCATTTGCCATAGTGGTAAGTAGATATTTACATGGATATATAAGAAATTATATTACTACATCATAATCCTTAAAGCTTCACATTTACCTTTCTTAAGGGATATGGTAAAGAAATGCCCACTTAAGATCAACTACCTTGAGTTTTATAGTAAAAATAAACTGTAGTTATATAATTTAGTAGCATCTAATTTAGTAGCCACTCCTCAAACAGAATTAAACCTTAACAGTCAACACTGATGATTCTTTTGTTAAACTCTCCAATGACAAAAATTCATCACTTTGAGGTAGCCTTTTTTTTAATGCTTTGTCAATAACCACTTCACAAATTGTTCTGTAACAGATTTTTCCTTGTCCTTTTCTCCTTCCATTTTGTTCTTCCTTGAAGGTGGAAAGTAATCATTCAACATTTTCCCCTCATAAAAAAAAGGGATTTCTTCTCCGGAGTTAATACTTTTTCTATTTCAAATGAATCCAAGTGATAAACTTTCTTTATAAGACAATATTCAACTTTTTTCATCTGTATCTTTGCTTTCTCTTAATGTTTTCTAATTTTCTCATTTTCCTATAAAACTGGAACTTCTATTAGAAATATTAATAATATCCTACTAAGGACATAATTAATAAAATGAAAGGAATTTAAAAATTATCATCTCTGACACCTCAGTATCTATCGTGTTATTGGTCCACTACAAGATGTATATTTTACCGATTCAGTCAAGCTCTCAACGTGCTGTTCTGATTAACTTTGTCCATGTGTTATCCATCCATTCTGAGTGTATCACTCAAGACTAAACTGTTGAATGCCATGCTGTGTTCTTTTGACAGTATGAAGTTTTTTTTAAATCAGCATGGTGAAGCCTTTCTATGCAACAACACAAAATCTAAAAGTTATTTTAAAATGTTAGAAATGTGACCACATGCAGTTTCAAATTTCTACATCAGAAAAGTCAATGCCAATGGCAGGGAAAAATACTTGTAACACATATGACAAAAGATTAATATCCTAAAAACAGGCAAATTGCACTGAAGTAAAAACAAAAAAACCTAGTGCCACAATCAAGTAGACAAATGGATAAAGGACATTCACAGAAAAGGTGGCTTTAAAACATGTTTTTAAATGTTTGTCCTCACCTATAAGACAAATACAAATTTCAGCTATAACCACATATTTTTTACCTTTCAGATCATGAAGTTTGGTAATGCATTATGCTGCAAGTTTCACACATCATTGACATTAGTACATATTGGTACAGTCTCTTAGGGCATAGCTTCACACTATCTTTCAAAAATTGTAAATGTGCACAGCCTTTGACCTATACTTGCACCTGGAAAGATCTTTGCTAGGAAGTAAGCATGTAAAAATACTAATTGCAGCATTATTATTAATTGGAAAAGATTAAAAACCGTCCAGATGCCCAATAGTAGAAGACCAGTTAAATTATGGAGTAGCCATACAGCGGAATAGTTTGCAGCTGTTAAGAGGAGTAAAATAAATCTAATATAGAGCTGTTTCTAGATAAATCATTTAGGAAGGGAAAAGAATAACATCAAAAGTGTATATAGTATTTTATGATTTTTAAATTAAAAAAAGATTGAAAACCCAGCACAGTGGGTTCTTCCTATAATCCTAGCACTCTGGGGAGCTAAGGAGGGAGGATTGCTTGAACTCAAGAGTTTAAGACCAGCATGAGCAAGAGTGAGACCCTGTCTACACACACACACACACACATTTAAGGCAAGCATGAAAAAAATTTTACTGAAAAAGAAAAGGGCCAGGTGCAATGGCTCACTCCTGTAACACTAGCACTCTGGGAGGCCGAGGTGGATGGATTGCCTGAGCTCAGGAGTTAAAGCAAGGAAGCCTGAGCAAGAACAAGACCCTTTCTCTAAAATTAAAGAAAAAGAAAAAAGTCGAGTGTTGTGGCAGGCGCCTGTAGTCCCAGCTACTTGGGAGGCTGAGGCAAGAGGATCACTTGAGCTCAAGAGTTTGAGGTTGCTGTGAGCTATGATGCCATAGCACTCAACCCCAGGGTGACTGAGTGAGATTCTGTCTCAAAAAGAAAAAGATAAGAAAGGTAGATTTACCAGGTAAGAGCAAGATACAGGTTTAGAGAACAAGATAATATTCTCATCAGCAGTAAACTGGCCTCCATTGCCACAGCAAGTAGACAAAGAGGCACACACAAAACATTTTTTAAACCTACATGGGTTTTGTGGTGTGTACCCATAGTCCCAGCTATTTAGGAGGCTAAGGCAGGAGGATCCCTGGTGCCCAGGAGTCTGAGGTTACAATGAGCTATGATGACACCACTGCACTCTATTCATGGTGACAGAGTGAGACTCTGTCTCAAAAAAAATAAAAACACAAAGAGTAAAGAAATAGCTACATATATTCTCATTTAGAATATTTCTAGAAATATACTTTTTTTTTTTTTGGAGACAGAATCTCACTTTGTCACCTTTGGTAGAGTGCTATGGCATCACAGCTCATAGCAACCTTAAACTCTCTTGGGCTTAAGTGATTCTATTGCCTCAGCCTCCCAGATAGCTGAAACTACAGGTGCCTGCCACAACATCTCGCTATTTTTGGAGACGGGGTCTCACTCTGGCTCAAGCTGGTCTCGAATCTGTGAGCTCAGGGCAATCTACCTGCCTCAGCCTCCCAGAGTGCTAGGATTACAGGCGTGAGCCCGTACCCGGCCTCTAGAAATATACTATAAAACTGGAAATAATGATTGTTTCTGGAGAGAGGGCTATGGAATGAAAGACAGTGTTGTGAAAACTTCCTATGCTGTATTCTGTTTTGTACTGTTAGATCTTTTTTATCATGTGTATATATTATCAATTCCAATTAATACTTAAAGATTATTTTCCTATGAGACTTTTATCATTGTGATACAGGATCATCTTTTCATTATCAGTCTGCATTATGTTGGCTCACACTTAGTTTTATTTTAGACTAGACACTTTTCTGATTACCTTTTATCTAGGTATTTTTGGTCCATCTATGAAATGTGTTTTAAAATTCTAAATACACTACATACCACTCTGAGCTGTGGAATGTCATATTTGACCTGCCTTTCTCTAATGTAATAGACATTTTAAATTATCAAGAGTATATCCATTAAAATTATTTTAAGGTTGGTAGGCTTGTCAGCAACTTTATTGTAAGAGATAAATTCACTCCCATTTTAACTTATTGGAAATATATATTTACATTTTGCCATTTTGGTGAAAGACCAATGTACTCTAGCCCTGTTTTATTTATGTTGTCATTAGCAACTTGATCAAGTTGAGCCTTTTAGCATCATGTATTGAAATTCATACATATTTGTATGTTTTATGTTTTATGTTCATACATTTAACCAGATATTAATGTTCACTAAATTGAAAACTGAGAGATGCATTGTTTAAAACCCATGAATATTCATGAACTTTCCTGAATTATTCTTTGGAATTTAATGTTTGAGAAAACAATCAAATTTTATTCTTCTAAATATTTATATTTGAATTATAATGGAAAATGGAAAATTGGTTATATTGCTTATACTAAGATGTGTTAGCTTATAAAACATAGAGAAGGCAAACTCTTGGTATGAGAATTTCATATTATGACTATATAGTCATAATTCCTTTCAAGGTCTTTCTGCTCTAAAATTAGAATAGCACATATTTTGGTCCAGGTTCTCATAGTGCTGTTGATGAAGGTCTAGAATGAAATGAACTCAAGCAAGAACTTCTGCCTTTATTAGACGATTAGAGAACTGATTGCCCTTCCTAAAGAATGTGTTTATGTCTGCTTACGACAGGGCACATGTTAGAATGCATGATCTCCATAGTAATGTAGAAGCCAGGTTAGGTCATGTTTAATACATAATTCCCACTAGAAACTAGGAAATTAATAGAAGTATATTATTAATCAGACTCTGTACACATAATGCAATGTACCCCATAGCTCACTAGTACTAATATAGTGAAGGTTTATTTGTGTCTTTTCCCACCTACCCTAAATATGTCAGTGTATGCAATAAAACTCCCTTTGCATAAAAAAAGTTATCAAAAGTAACGTAGAAATGAATATAAAAATGACCATTTATAAAACCCCTTCCAATAAGATTATTTTCAATAATTGTAAATTGTGATGCATTGTACTTTGTATTTTTTGGGTTTTGTTTTTAATAACAATAACAATGTTTAACATAAGGACTGAGAACAAAAACCTCATAAAGAATGAAGATAGGCTCGGCTCCTATAGCTCAACCGGCTAAGGCGCCAGCCACGTACACCTAAAGGTGGCAGGTTCGAATCCCCAGCCCGGACCCGCCAAACAACAATGACGGCTGCAACCAAAAAATAGCCGGGCGTTGTGGCG